TTAGTTATGTTGATTATTTATAAAAAAAATTATGTTAGTTTTTTTTAAAAAAAAAATTATTTCACTACGTTGAAAATTAATCTTATAGAAACCCATAATATATGCGATCAATAAAAATACTTTGAAAAAGCTAATAAGTTTTTCAAAACAGAATAAATTAACATTTTATATTTATAATCAAAATAAACCTCTTCATCAGCCCTTATGTCTAAAGATGGGCTGTGTATACCGCATATATATGGTATGCAATACATATATAAAAATTTACATGTATGATAAACTGATTATTCGTTAAAATAATCTAAGAGCATTAAAATTTCAAAAAAAAAATTATAGTATAAATGTTGAAGAAAATCACATACGTGAGTAAAATGTTTATGACAATTTAGAGATAAAATCTTTTTCTTCTTCTAAGCACAAAAGAATCCAAAAATATTGTTTTTTCTGTTTTACCTCAAGTATCCTAAAAAAGTTTTATTCTATTGTTAAAATTTGAATGATGGTTGATGCAGCGCCGCGTAAAGTAACATTAATGGATATATAGATCGCAAGTTGGCTGCATTTATGTTTTACCTCAAACTTAACGAAGCGGGTATTAACAAATATAGCCATAGCCTTTATTGTCGTGGTTTGTGATACTACTTCCGATATTTAATATCAAAATTCATTTGATTTTTATTTTGATACTAAATATAAAAATCTAGTTTACTTTATTTTTCATATTTATTTATTTTTTTTAAGATAGTCTTCACAATAATTATAGTTCTAGTTAATACACTTGATTAATAATGATATTTTAAGAAAAATAACATATATTTATTACAAATAACTAATTTAACTAATTTCTTTAATCTACTAAAATTAGTTCATTAGTTCTTATATTAAGGACCGGGGGTAGTATACGGCTAGATAACTAATTTAAAGAGATTTCAAAAATTAGTTAAGTTAGTTAATTATAACAAATATATGTCAACTTCTATGCAAAAAATATATATGTTGACTTCCTTGAACCACTATTTTTAATTATATACATTAAAACTATCTTTTAATGAGAACCCGATGCAATCAAAGGGAATATTATAAATAAATTATAAATTTGAGAGGCAAAATATATTTAAGTCTTGTATTTAAGATCAAATTCAATCTCCAACTAACTCTTATACTAAGGATAGAAGTTATTATTGTTTCTATAAATGTACTACTTCCGGTCCTTAATATAAGATCTAGTTGATTAATTAGGAGAGATTAAGAAAGTTAGTTAAGTTAGTTATTTGTCGTAAATAGATATTGCCTTCCCTAAAATACTCTTAGTAATCATTTGTGTTTAAATTATCAATAGATAGTAACTTTTTGACATATTCAACGGGTAAAATAAATAATTATTGGAGACAAAGTAAATTAAGATCTCATACTTATAATCAAATTGAATGTTAAACTAGTTGTTATATTAAAAACCAGAGATAGTACGTACTCCTCCTATCTTTAATATAAGACATATTTAACTGATTTGAGTAGATTAAGAAAGTTAGATAAATTAGTTAATTATAAGAAATATAATATGTTTTTTCTAAAATACCATAATCATCTTTTTTAATATCCTCCCTCCCTCTTGTACTTAATCATAGTTAAGAAAGTATCTATAAAGATAATTTAGAAAAAATTAATAAATATGATTAATAAAAAAAATCTTCTCTGTGCAGCTTATAAAAAGGATTGGAGGAAGCAATTGCTGGATCTTAGCCTCTCGTGTATATCGTGTGCATTAGAAAAAGGGCTCTTGATCATATTCAAATTTAACCTTGCTATATCCATTGAAATAGCCTCAAGTGGTCCCTATTTCCTATTTTAATGATTAAATTGCGCATAATTATTGTTCAATCCGTCCACGCATATAACATTTAAAAATTGGTGAATGCTCCACAATGAAAAAAAATATTTTAGAATGACGGACATGTCTTTTGTTCGAACAGTCAAGTCTCTCATGATGCTATTAAGATCAAGGATAATATTTTTTTAACAAAATATTGATTTTTATTTCTCTATCAAAATAACGTAATTTGTTGGGGAAAAAAATCAAAATAGTATAATTTGTCATTAAAATTTTGGAGTATTGTAACCAGCAGGACTCAAAGTAATATTTTTATTCGGTAATTTACAATTATTCCCCGACATGGAAACGATGGACTTCATATTTTATGTGACTTTTGTTCGAACAGTCAAGTCTCTCATGATGCTATCAAGATCATGGATAATATTTTTTTTTTTACAAAATATTGTTTTTTATTTCTCTATCAAGATAACGTAATTTATTGGCAAAAAAATTCAAAATAGTGTAATTTTTCATTAAAATTTTGGACTATTGTAATCAGCAGCACTAGAAGTAATATTTTTATTCGGTAATTTACAATTATTCCCCGACATGGAGTCCTTGGATTTAATTTTTTGAATCCCGAGGCTGATTACTAATTGGATAGTGCAATTTGGTCTAAATTTTTATTTCCAAAATATATCAAATTAAATTATGCTTATTTTTCGTCAGCCGTGACGTTTTCATATTGGCTTGTCATTCGTCGTATTTGTTCTATGACTTGTGGCTGCTTTTGTTCAAATCACTGCTCGCTAGTAGAGGTAGTACCACTGTCTCATGCATGTAATAGTGGGAAAGACTCTTCTTTCATTGTATTAGAAAAGAAAAGGAGAGATTCTTCTTCACTGTCTTCTATGCTTGTAGAAAGCGACACAATGATTGAAGTATCCGCTCATTTCTTTAGCTCTTCAGTCCTTTCTGTTCTTCTGATTTTCGCACGTCTGCTACTGGTTAGTTTTCTTGTACGTTAACAAGTTTTTAATTTTGAAAGCAAATCAAAACTGGGTTTCCTACAATGTTCAAGGGTAATAGAATCTGGGCTTACGTGCGAGAAGAAATTATGTGGGAATCACACATTCACAGTTTCAGTTTCCAATTTCCAATTGCGTCCTATATTTTCGTTTCTATTTCTCATTTGAAGATTGTGCCGTTTCATGTTGCAGTGACTCTTGCCCAATCAGAAAACTAAAAACAGAGCTATTTCAGCATCATTGGTTGGAGAGATGGCTTTTGAGCCGTTAATTTGGTACTGCCAGCCAGAGAAGAACTTCATCTGGGCTAATCTTGTAGACAGTGCTTTTGGGTCCTATACACCACGTGCAATGAACACTATTGTGATCTCCGTCTCCAATTTGGTTCTCATTGTCCTTTGTTTATATCGAATATGGCTGACTATGAGCAATGCCAAAGCTCAAAGATTTTGCTTGAGCTCAAATTACTATAATTATTTTCTGGGATTGTTGGCGGGTTACTGTGCTGCTCAACCTTTACTGAGATTGGCATATGGCATTTCTGATTTCAACTTGAATGGAGAATCTGGTTTTGCTCCTTTTGAGGTGAGTACTCGTTTTCTCAAACATGTTTAGCAAAAGTGATTGTTGAGGGGTTTAGTTCATCATGTAAAGCAAGTAACATATCTGATGTACGTGCAAAGTGGACTTTTAAGTCACACTTCAGTTTCTGTGCCAGGTAACAGGTCTGATCATTGAAGCACTTACTTGGTCCTCAATGTTAATTCTTCTTGTCATGGAGACTAAGATTTATATAAAGCATTTTCGGTGGTTCGTGAGGTTTGCCGTCTTTTATGTTTTGGTGGCAGATCTTGTAATGCTTAATCTTCTTCTATCAGTGATAAATTACTGCAGCAGGTTGGCTTTTTAAGTATTTTACATTTTAGGGCCCATACTATCTCTGCATTATTTTCTTTCATCTCTTGCAATTTCTATTTGGTGTTCTGCAACATGATTTTTATGCATTTGTTGCTTGTACCTTTTGTCATGCTTTGACATATGTAATTCATTATGATGGACCGATCACAGATGCCGTGATATCTACATTCATGAAAAGAAAGCTCAGTTATGCTGGCATAGTAAATTATAGTGGAGTGTCAGTGTTCCTTTAGCTCACATCTTTTCATCTGCTACTTTTGGATGACATTGCTCTAGAGTTTCTCTAGATGTACAAGGCTAGTCAAAAGATGTCAAACAATGAACAAGACTATGCATGGATATACACCTTGGACTTACCCAATACTAAAGCTCGTTTCAGAATATGAACTTATATTAGTATTATTGAGTTGTTGGTTGAGAAATTCAATACTTTTAGGTTTGTTTTGGTAAGTTGTTTGGGGTTAGGTTATTATTCTAAAGAACAGGGGAAAAGGTATCTTACATGAATCATAGGTGCTGGAATATATTTTCTAGTACCTAATCACATAGCATCCAATTGAGATGATCTTTTGTTGAAAAATCACAACATGTGTATCATAATTCAGGAATGCAACTTTGCTATGGACTTTAGTCTTTGTTTTTTTTTTCCTTCTCTCTAAATATTTCTTTATTAATGTAGATTATAGAATAATATGGAAAATAATTCTCTTTTATTTCATTGATCAGAATATGCACAAATATATACAAGTGAGAGGACTTTTGCATTAATGGCTCATTATAATAATATCATATCATATCAAATCCTAATCATAATTACATAATATTTACATAATATCATATCATATCATATCTCTACACTTCCCCTCAAGTTTGAGGATAAATGTTAATCATGCCCAACTTATCACACAGATAGTCAACACGAATCCCATTCAGAGCCTTAGTCAAAAGGTCGCCTAATTGATCACTAGAGCGCACATATCCAGTAGAGATGAAGTTCTCTTTGAGCTTGTCTCTGATAAAGTGACAATCAATCTCAATATGTTTGGTACGTTCATGGAACACAAAATTAGAAGCTATATGTAAGGCAGCCTTATTGTCACACCACAACTTTACTGGCAAAGTAGTTTTGAAGCCAACTTCCTTCAGTAATTGATATATCCAGATTATCTCGCATATAGACTGTGCCATAGCCCGGTATTCTGCCTCTACGCTCGATCAGGACACCACATTTTGTTTCTTGCTTTTCAGGATACCAGGTTCCTACCCACAAAGACACAATATCCTGTAGTAGACCGTCTCGTGGCCTTTGATCCACCATGATCCGCATCACAGAAGCACTCAATTTCTGTATGACCATGATTTTTGTATAATATCCCACGACCTGGACATCCCTTCAAATAATGTAATACGTGCTCCAAGGCTCTCCACTGTGTGACAGTTAGGGATGCCATGAACTGGCTTAGTACACTGACTGAATAAGTAATATCCGGATGAGCTACAGTGAGATAGTTTAACTTGCCAATCATTCTCCTGTACCTCTCAGGATTCTCAAATGGTTTGCTCTTTTGAGCCTCAAGCATCTGTTTCTCATCATCAAGAGAGTTATCAAGCGGTATGCTCCCATCAGCGTCAAGGAGTGGGTTGTGAACCATAGGAAAATTAGTCGGTGCTGCTCCCAACTTTCCAGTTTCCTTCAGTAGATCAAGAACATATTTGCGCTGTGTCAATAATATGTCCTTCTTGCTTCTCATAACTTCAATACCTAGAAAGTATGTCAGAGAGCCTAGATCCTTCGTTTATAAGTGGGAATTAAGAAAGGACTTGAGGGACGAGATGCCCGAACCATTACTGCCTGTAATCACAATGTCATCTACATACACCACCAAGATAATCATGCCAGTCGCTGTTTTTTGATAAAATACAGAATGATCGCACTTGCTTTGGCTCATGCCAAATTTCTGTACAACAGTACTGAACCGGTCAAACCATGCACGAGGACTTTGCTTCAAACCATACAAGGACCTCTTAAGGCAACATACTTTCCCACACTCCCCCTAAGCAACGAACCCAGGTGGTTGCTCCATATAGACCTCTTCATGGAGACCACCATGCAAGAAAGCATTTTTAATGTCTAACTGATGTAGATCTCAATCATAAGTAGCAGCTAGAGAGATGAACAGATGAATAGATGACAGCTTAGCAACAGGAGAAAAGGTTTCAGAATAGTCAATGCCATAGGTCTGTGCATAACCTTTAGCCACAAGGCGAGCCTTAAGGCGGTCAAGTGTGCCGTCAGCCTTAGTTTTCGAAGTTAACACCCATTTACATCCAATGGCCTTTTTGCCTGCCGATAAATCATCCAGGGTCCATATACCAGCCCGATCAAAGGCCGCCATCTCCTCTTCCATTACAACATGCCAACCCGAGTGGGCCAAGGCTTCACGAATAGTTATGGGCACAGAGATAGTATCTAGGGAGGCAACAAAGAAACTGGACACCGAAGACAAGTGGTCATAGGAAACAAAAGATGAAATAGGATGGGCACAAATATGTTTACCTTTGCGAAGGGCACTGGGTAGATCAAGAGAGGCATTCGGGTCTGGAACAAGAGGTGTCTTAGGATTAGGGTTAGAACGAGGCTCAATGTTGCTCAACTCAATTTTCCAACATTTTTCATGTATTTTCTAAGAGATATTTTATAGAGAAAATGAGCTACTCCTCCTCCTTCCTGATTTGGCTGAATTGGGACAGCTCAATGGGGTTATGTGGCAGCCATCAAGTGTGGGAATTGATCATATTTGAACATGTGGCCTTACGCTAGATTTTTTCAAACATTTTCTCTTGATTTTCACTTTTTATTTAATAAAAATGGTGGAATCTGGAAAGTGCATGAATTTATGCCTTTAAGGGGTCCATTGTGGGTCCCACAAATGGTTTGGGCTGGCCCACAAACCAAATCACTATCTCAAACCAATTAGAAACTTTATCGGTTACTATTCACTAGTAACCTTCCATAATTTTTTCAGAACTCCAAAAATTCATTTCTCTCCATGATAATTCACCTTTTAATATTAGAATATGATCTAAAAATTTTTATAATTTTTTGCCACCTCTGGGTATTTATTTTGAATTTTTTCCGATTAGGCCTTTATTAGTGTTACTATGGGAAAATAAATTTCCTAAAATTAATTCCTGAGTTTTCAAGGCATAAAAACAATTTTATAAATTCAAATAAATATTTAGCTAAACTTTCCATTAATCTCCCAAATTTATTAAGGCCTCTAACTAATTAAAATAATTTTTCCTTTGATTTTTCAATATTTTCCTGAAAAACCTTTGTTTACAGGAAATTCCGTAATAATTCATTTTCACCAAAATTCCACCTTTCGGCCCTCAATTGAATTTTCAAAACCTCTACTCTACACTTTTCCCATTTTTCAGGGATTTTTTAGAAATTTTCTCAAATTTTTCTGTTTTGCCCTTCCTAGATCGATAATTATAAAAATGACAGTCCGGACCTTTTCGAGGTTTCATATCAAAAGTTATTTCATCTCCCCATCTAGTTCCTACATTAACCCTCATCCCAATTTTTAATCCTTTACTGTCAGATGAAAATTTTTGGGATGTGACAATTCCTCCCCTCTTTAAATAAATTTCATCCTCGAAATTTAAAAACATACCTTAATGAAACAATTCTGGGTATCTGGCCTTCTTGTCATCCTCCTTTTCCCATGTAGCTTCCTCTTGAGTTAGATCCCTCCAGATGACTTTGACCATCGAAATAGTCTTACTCCGTAGTTGTTTAATCTGCCGATCTATCACTTTCACCGGCTGCACTTCAAAAGTGAGATTATCTTGCAGCTCAATGTCCTCGTATTTCAAAACATGCGAGGGATCTAGCTGATATTTCTTCAACTAAGAAACATTGAAGATTAGGGGGTAGGGCTAATCTGTAAGCCACTGGGCCAACTCTTGACAAGATTTGGAAGGGTCTAATATACTTCAGTGTCAATTTATAGGCTTTGATCGATCTTCCTGTACCTGTAGTTGGAGAAACTTTCAGGAAAACATGATCTCCAACTTCAAACTCCAAAGGCCTTCTCCATACGTCGGCGTAACTCTTTTGTCTACTTTGTGCTGTAAGCAGTCTCTGTCGAATCATCTTAATCTGTTGTGAGGTTTGTTCTACCAAATCGGGACCAAATATCTTCCTTTCACCCAATTCAATCCAACACAATGGGGATCTACATTTCCTCCCATACAATGCTTCATAAGGAGTTATTTGAATACTGGAATGATAACTGTTATTATAGGCGAACTCTACCAGTGGCAAGTATTCATCCCAGTTCCCTTTGAAATCTAGGACACAAGCTATTAGCATATCCTCTAACATTTGAATAGTACGTTATGTTTTCCCATCAGTGTGAAGATGATAGGCTGTACTAAAACTCAACTTAGCGTCCATAGCTTCCTGTAATGCTCTCCAAAATCTAGAGAGAAATCTCAGGTCCCTATTAGAAATAATTGTTTCGGGTGTCCCATGCAACCTCAATATTTCTTAGATGTAGATCTATGCTAGTTTCTCCAGTTGATATTCTTTCTTGATGGCTGAGAAATAAGTTGACTTCATCAGGCGATCTACAATCAACCATATCGCATCGTGACCTGATGGTATACTAGGTAATCCCATCGCAAAATCCATGGAAATGCTTTCCCATTTCCATTATGGAATACTTAAGGGTTGTAAGGATCCTGGCGGCTTTTGGTGTTTTGTCTTTACCTTCTGACAAGTGAGGCACCTCGACACGTAGTCCGTTACATCTCTCTTCATACCAGTCCACCAAAATGATTCTTTAAGATCTCAATACATCTTGGTCATGCCTGGATGTATGGTATACCAACTCTTGTGTGCCTCTTCCAGAATTTGCCCCTTAATCTCTAAGTCAGGGGAATATAAGTTCTTCCCTTATATTTCAAGATCCCTTCCTGAGTTATCTCAAAATCCCTCGTCTCATTTCTTAGCACTTTGGCTTTTAATATGTCGGCCAGTTAATCTCTCTGTTGGGCCTTCTTGATCTGTTCAATGATTTGCATTTTTGCTTTTATAATGCTGCTCTGGCCTGCCATCAGTTTTATCTGGCCTGTGAGATCCCAATTTCAAATATTCTCGATCAACTCTTGTTCTTTTATCATTAACGACGCCACCTGCACTGTTTTCCAACTCAACACATCTGCTACCAAATTCGCTTTTCCCGGACAGTATTTGATTTGATAGTTGTAATCCTTGAGCAATTCCATCTATCTCCTTTGTCTCATGTTGAGTTCTTTCTGGTCTTGCAGGTACTTGGGAATTTTATGATCACAAGACAATTCAATAGTTGCCCCATACAAGTAATGCTTCCAGATCTTCAAGGCATAAACTATCACTGTCAGCTCAAGATCATGAGTGGGATATTTCTCCTCAGGGGTTTTCAACTATCGTGAGGCATAAGCAACCACTCGACCCTGCTGTATCAGCACACATCCCAATCCTTGCTTTGCTTATCGTGTCTGTATACACCACATATGGCAACGTAGGATCAGGGATTATTAACACAGGAGTTGAGGTCAGCTTCTGTTTCAATTCCTGGAAGCCTGCCTCACACTTTGCATCCTAATTAAATGGTTGATTCTTCTAGGTGAGCCTGGTCAGCGGTAGGGCAATTCTAGAGAAATCCTGTATAAACCTTCAATAGTACCCTGCTAGACCCAGAAAGCTTCTCACCTCAATTACTGTCTTGGGTTGCTCTTAATTTAACACGGCCTCTACCTTGCTTGGGTCCACGGCCACTCTATCTCGGGTTATCACATAGCCTAAGAATTTCACTTCATTTAGCCAAAATTTGCACTTACTCAACTTGGCATACAATTACTTTTCCTGCAATATACCCAATACAATTTGCAGATGCTGTTTGTGTTCCTATGGTGACTTAGAATACACTAGGATGTCATCAATAAATACTACTATAAAATGATCCAAATAGGGCCGGAAGATCCTATTCATGTAATTCATAAATATAGTAGGTGCGTTCATCAAACCAAACGGCATCACTAGGAATTCATAATGCCCATACCTAGTTCAAAAGGTAGTCTTCAGAATATCTTTTGCTTTAATCATCAATTGATGGTGCCCAGATCTCAAGTTAATCTTTGAGAATATAGTGGCTCCTGCCAACTGATCTAACAAATCGTCAATTCTCGGTAACGGGTATTTATTATTAATCGTCACTTGTTCAGCTCACGGTAGTCTATACACAACCTCAAACTACTGTCTTTCTTCTTCACAAACAGTACCAGCGAACCTTATAACGATACACTGGGGCGTATGAATCCTTTTTCTAACAACTCCTCTAATTGCTTTTTCAATTCTGCAATTTCGTTTGGCGTCATTCGATACAGAGCTTTTGAGATTGGATTTATTCTAGGCACCAGGTCAATAGCAAACTCAATTTCTCTTTCCGGAGGTAGTTTGCTAATTTTTGTTGAAAATACTTCAGGGAATTCCTGGACTATCGAGATATCAGCAGTCCCTTCCTCTATTACTGCCTCCACGAAAAATACCATGTACGCCTGGCAAGCCTGCCTCAACTATTTATCCACTCGAGCTGCTGAAATCACGTTCAACTTTGCTTCTGCTATCGGGATCAATGTTTTGTTTTTACAGTCAAGGAGAACATTTTAGGAAGACAACCAATTCAAACCAAGGATAACA